GAGGGACTGGTTAATGAATGTACTACTTTTCATTTTAACAAAATGGACTGACACTTTTCTTGAAACTCTTTTATTGACCACACATGTAGACCCTGAGTGATGCTCGAAAACAAATGCTGATGATCAAAATCTGAAAACACAACAACACCACAGCTTCAAAAAGAACGAAAACCAACTAAAGAGTCGATGATCTCTAGAGCGTCAAATCAACGCAGTTCAGCGGATCCTCTCTCCGAACTCGTCGTAAGCGTTAATTTCCTCCTCCTCTCCTTCTATTTCCCTGCACAGAGAGAGAGCAGTTTCCATTATACCTCAGGTTCACATTAAGGAGATGGGAACAGGCTGGTACCTGCAATTATCCCTGCTCACCCAGCCGTGGGCCACGAGGTGCCGAGCAACAGCTGGCTCTCTTTTTCCATCGACCACTCACACACACACACACGCACTCACACACTCACATGCACCTGCACACTTCCTCTCCTCCCCCTTAAGACACTTACCCGCCGCCCATTCCTCACATTCACCTGCCAAACAGTGTGATTAATAAGGCCAATGCAACCGTAGACTCAGAGGGGGGGAAGCGGGAGAAAACAGCATTGAGCTGATGAAAAGAAGAGCACAGTATGGCAGCACGTGTTGAGTAATATATTCACACAGAGCAAGAAAGTGATCCGTCATCCTGTAAGCATGGAAACACACTAAAGTATAGTCAGAGGGGTGATCGTAAAATATTGCAATGATTCAAAGAAACAGCCCGGGTTATAAATTATCTTGATGTCCCTCTCGCTGCCTTTCTCTCTCTCTCTCTCTCGCTCTCTCTCTCTGTCTCTCTCTCTCTCTCTCTCTTTCTCTCTCTGTTTTCCACCCAATAAAACCAGTGCACTCGAGAGCAATGGATCACCTCGAACCACAGAGACTGCATTCTCCCGGTTCCTCTGATTTTCACTGACAAGCAAACTGAGCGTTTACAGTGTATTGTGCACTCATCCCTCTAACACCCGATCCTTCTTTTTGTTCTTTGTTTAGTCCAGTTTAAGGAACAGGAGGGAATGCTGATGCTGCAAGTCGGTGAAGAAATGTCAGACTCTCTTTCTGTTCTTTTGATTTTATTTACCAAATCTAAAATGAATAAAAGGAAGGCAGTAAAGATAGGAAACAATGAGGAGGGGTTTGGATCACTTGTTTCTGCTCACTGTGAGTCTGTTGTGAGGCTGTATGGGATGTGCAGTATTATGGAAGCGATTAGTGATCAAAATTCAAATGATAAAGCTAATTTGAAAATTCAAATGCATGAACAGAAATGCTTTTTAATTTTCAGAATATGAGTTTGACTCAAAAATAAAATGATGATTCATTTATCTAATTTGAAATTTAGTATTCAACTTCAAAAATGCACATTCTTTGACTAAATTCAAATGAAGAAGAACCTATAGTCTGAAAATTAAAACGTGTTTCTGTTACTGTATTTTCATTTTAAAATGAGATTTTTCATTTGAATTATGATACAAATTTAGCGGGGCATTTTTTGAAAATGATAAAGCAAATGTCATTTTCTTCTTCATTTTAATTTAGTCAAAGAATGTGCATTTTTGAAGTTGAAAACTAAAATTCAAATTAGATAAATTAATCATTTTATTTTTGAGTCAAATAATACACTCATATTCTGAAAATTAAAAAGCATGTCTGTTAATGCAATTTTGATCACTAATTGCTTCCATACAGTTGAGTTATGTTGATGTATCTTCTTCTTATCTTTTTCTTTTATTTGGTTGCGTCTTTATGTCAGTCTTGTGTGGTTATTGTGCATGTTTGTGGTTTTCATTGGTAAGTGATTCTCTGTTTTCAGGATTGTTACAGCACTGGAGACCAAGACAAATTATCCCTAAGGGCATAATATATTATACTGTATCATATTGTCTTGTATCGTATCATATCAGATTCCTGTTAAGTAACTAACACTGTACCTGTCTGTGCTTTAGGTTGGAAACTTTTTCACCTGCCTTGGGTGCGGTAGGCAAAACGTTTTTTTTTGTCATTGTTTTGTTTGAATGACATTTAAATAAGTGAAATGTCCATTGCGTCCACAGTCCATTAAAACAATGAAATGATTCAGACTAAAAAGTTTTTTATGTCCAACATAATAAATGTTAATAGTCTGTTTAAGATCAGCTTCTTTCATTTTATGATTTTGTTATTTTAACATGCTTTACGTCATTTGTATTGTGAGTAGGCAGAGGTCCACATTAATTTTACTGCACATATTTTATAAACACAGTTAGACTGTATTATGAGGTGAGGCACATTCGAATCAAAGTGATACAGACAATAAAACAGGTTTTATAAGGCAGACATAAATGTTCATCTGCCAAAATGTCACCTGAACTTTATATGGGTTGTATTTGTTTAAGTAATATATGGCAGTATAGGTAACAGCTCTTATGCAATGAGAAAATAATATTTAACTATCTTTTACCTGAATATGACATTGACACAATTTTAAATGGACTTGGACTTGAGTGAACTCTATCAACAAGCTTTTTACATCACAGGTCACACTTACCCAGTCACACAACATTCACACACTGGTGGAAGAAGTTACTATTTTATTTTACTGCACATTGCACATATTGCACAAGTTAAATTTTTCTTTAAATTTTCTTTCATTTTAGTTACCATTTTGTACCGTTTGCACAATTTAGAATTTATTGCTGCAAATATTATTTATCTTATTTTACCTCATTTTATTTGATCTTATTTTACCTTATTTTGGTTGTATTGCACCGCGGGACGGAGACAAACGCAATTTCGATTCCACTGTATGTCTGGCATATTTTGGAATTGACAATAAAGTTGACTTTGACTTTGACTATAAAGTGTCCATCAGTATAAGTTAATCCCATTCATACACATTCACACACCGCTGACGCAACAGGAGCAATTTGGGATTCAGTGTCTTTGCCAAGGACACTTTAACATGTGACTGCAGGAAGTAGGGGTTGAACTCCAGACCTTCCTTTTAAAGCCTTTCTACTCTACAACTGATCCACAGCTGCCACAAAGGCATGAGGACAAAAAAAAATCTGGCTGCTTTTTTTATCAGGTAAAATGAGGAAAAAATCTTTTAAAAGGCTGCATATGGAATTGGGTTCTAAATTATGATTACCATACTGTCTTTCCATTAGCTAGCACACCTGGAAACTTTCATTATGACATGTTTCTAACAGTTTAGAGTCAGGCTTTTCTGTCTCAATATAAATATGCCACTGGGCACAAATCAGAATCAGAATCGGGTTTTATTGCCAAGTACATTTACACATACAAGGAATTTGACTTGGTGTATTGGTGCTAAACAATTAACAATGAAATAAAGCAGAACTAACAACAACTTAAATAATACAGTATAAGAAGCTATTACAATATATAGAATAGAATTTAAAAATGTAAAATATAAAAAAAAATAATAATAATCTGTTTAACAAAGACAAGGTATCCAGTTTGTTCAGGGAAGAACTTGATTGGCCCTCAGCAAAAGGTCTTCAAAAATGTAATGACAAAACATTACATTCAATACAGATGTTATGTTCAAGAGTTTACATACTTACAGCTGTGCAGTCTATATTAAATTGAGAATTAAAACAGTCAATAAAAAGTTAAGGAAACACTTTCCCTGTACATCCTGGCAAACACACGATGATCTCAATCAGAGTTCATGCTTTAAAAGTGCTTTGTCAAACCTGGCCGGACTTTCCGTCTTCTGTATTTTAATAACTGCAGTCATAAGCAATCTTTGAGATCTATGAAACTTATCCTCCTCCCTCCTCGACACTCAGCTGCTGAGGCAGCACCTGGATTTCAATGACTCAACTGACGGCCACAGAGACAGAAATCATTTATGGACACTCCTGTTATTGATGCGCTGACATCGCACGGAGGGAAAGATTACTTTGCATTACATAAGGATTCAACTATTCTGGGGGGGGGTTTAAGAGTGCTGATGTCTTATTTATATGTTTCAATGCTTAAACTTTTTTGATTCTCGCATTTTCTTTTTTTTAATCAGGGAGGTGAAGCCATTTTTATCTTATTTTATTTTATTTTATTTTATTTTATTTTATTTTATTTTATTTTATTTTATTTTATTTTATTTTATTTTATTTTTTATTTTTATTATTATTATTATTATTTATTATTTATTTTTTAAATGTTCTATTTTAATGTTTCTTTCCTCTGTCATGATGCTTTTGATGTCTTGTGTGAAGCATTGTGAATTGCCCTGTTGTTGAAATGTGCTATAGAAATAAACTTGCCTTGCCATGTCTGAGCAAAGCTTTTCTTCCAACAATTTCTCTCCCATTTCATTTGACTTTAAAGAAACTTTAAACATCTGAACAAAAGATGTCACACTCACATTTATTGATAAGATCCACTCTCAACACAACCTCCTCTGTAGTCTAGTCTAGATGACCATTTAGCAAAGTAATTAAAGCAGGCCTGGTCTCTGAGAGCGCATGTTCCTGGTCCATTTTAACCACAATCAATTGCATTTTTATCAAATATAGTAGATTTTCCCATCTTCACTCACACAAGTTTTTTATGGAAAATATCTACTGTAAAGACTACATCATTTTGTTGCCCTCTGTTCTCCAGCAAATAACAGGAAACATAACTGCAGAACCTCACAACACGGATATAAGACATATTTTAAGTTGAGAATAAAACATATTTGGGTTCATAAAGTCATTTATTTGCTTCATGACAGAAGCATTATGGTCTCTTTTAGTGTAACAATATCTGAAATGTATCAGTTGTTGGTTTTGCACAGGTATAATAATTAACATTATCGGGTGCCGGTGGCCTGGCGGTTAGTGCATGAGCCTGCAGGTTCGAATCTGACCTGTGGCTCATTTCCTGCATGACATTCCCCACTCTATCTCTCTCTGATGTCTGACTCTATCCACTGTCCTATCTATAAAAAATGAAGTCACACAAGGCCCAAAATGTATCTTAAAATGTTTTTTTTTATTTATGATCTCTGCAGGAAACATGAGTAGAGAATGTTGAGAAACGTCCTGGATAAAAACAAAGTGATCACACAGTATCTTCCAACTGGTTGTTTAATAGTCATATTCTAAAGCGTACACAGGACTTAAGAAGAGGATACGATCCTAAAGCTGAGAAACAAGTGACACAAAGGACAGAGGTAGTGTGGTCTTTAGTGGAAAAAGTCACCTTTTAACTTTAAGTGAGGTAGATCATGAGACGGTGGATACTTAAAGGAGCAGCTGGTTGAACTTCATCTGGTAATTAATGGATGGTAAAACTCACAGAGATCAACGTATTAGCTGTACCTGAAATGAACTTCAGCTAGCTTCAGGCCAGCTCAACTTTTCTCAGTGCCGAGATAAGTTAAGTCATTAAAAACGTGACAATGTAGACAAAACATTGTATATTAACTTTGAGAAGACGTTTATTTCCCTGACTGCTGATTTCGATTTCTTGTCACTCTTTTACGAGTTTTCACAGACTCCGGAACAAGCCAGTTATCAGTTCCCATTCCAGTACTACCCATATGCTAATACTGGTGTTTTCATACAGCTGAGGCCAAGAGGCAGAAACCTGAGGCCTCTGAATGACGATGTAAAGAAATGCTGCACAATCAATAGGCTTTAAAATGCATCATAAAACAGTTTAGAGTTAAATTAAAGTATAATCACAGTTAATATGTCGCTTGATTGCTCTCATTCCTGCAGACTCAGGCAAGTCAAACCTTTCTTATTGTGTCTATAGCATTCAATTATTCTTATTTAATATCATTAGTTAAAGGAAGAAATAGTCCTACATCACTTTCAAAAAGGAGTCCTGTATCATGGCCTCCACCTCTTCTACCAGCACACTGTACTCTGCCTCACACACAGTGTGTCCTCTCCTGCTGCTCTCCAGCAGCTGTTTCATCATGTCTCGGTGTATGTCTGGTCCGGTTGCAGTCGCTGCCAGCGTCCTCAGCTGCTCCACGGGATCCTCTGGAATATTCTGGATTTGTAAGGCTTTGAACACAGCGGGGGCAAACTTCCCGTAGTGTGCGGTGGAGCAGATCACCACGGGGCACGAGCCGTCCTGCAGCCTGTCAGCCACCACTTTAGCCACCGCGGTGTGCGTGTCCATGACGTAGCCCGTCTGTGCGTGAACGCTCCGTACGGCGGCCAGGCAGTCGTCTTCAGAGCACCAGCCGGCCTGCACCTCCTGCTGCATCCTGCTGAGGAGCGGCTCAGGAACCTGGAAGTGCTGCTGACCGTCTAAACGAGAGAACAGCTCTCTCACGAGATGTCCATCTCCGTGTGACACTTGGTGGATAAACCGCTCCAGGTTGGAGGATTTCAGGATGTCTATAGCTGGGGAGAGGGAGGGAATGAGAGGTCGGCCGCGCAGGTCGTACTCTCCTGTGGTGATGAAGTCTGAGATGATGCGGTTGTGGTTGGATGCGCAGATTACTCTTCTTATCGGGACACCCATTTGCTTGGCGTACACGGCTGACATCGCGTTGCCAAAGTTACCCGTGGGGATGCAAACATCGATGGGCTCCCCAAACTTGATGACACCGTCTCTGCACAGGTCCAGGTAGGAGGAGCAATGATAAACCACCTGAAGGAGGAGGAAAAGAAATGTGACAAATGAGAAAAAGTAAGAATGAGGAGGGCAATCACAGGACAAACTAAATCACACAGTCTTTCTTGGAAGTGTCAAAACACTTAATGATATATTTTTTAAGGTTTATTTTTGGGCTTTTAATGCCTTTATTTAGAGATAGGACAGAGGATAGTGTCAGATATCTAGGGGAGAGAGGGAGGGGAATGAAGCTAACTTTTCAAAAGTACACTCAGTTTACTGCACATTGCACATATTGCACAAAGTTTACTTTTTCTTTAAATTTTATTTCATTTTAGTTACCATTTTGTACCTTTTGCACAATTTAGAATTTATTACTGCAAATATTATTTATCTTATTTTACCTCATTTTATTTTATCTTATTTTACCTTATTTTGGTTGTATTGCACCGCGGGACGGAGACAAATGCAATTTCGATTCCACTGTATGTCTGGCATATTTTGAAATTGACAATAAAGTTGACTTTTGACTTGACTTTGATGACATGCGGGAAGGAGCTATGTCCCTCACATCGTGAAGTTTCCCCTGTCGGATGTGGGGGTGGGGGGGGGGGGGGGCAGTGGGCTGACATAATAAGAAAGACTTGAGGTGAAACATTTACAAGGGGCTGGCAGGAAAAATTCTGAGTAAAAAAAAAAAAAAAGGGTGTGTATTGACATGAGGCCCAGCCCAAAAAATGTTCAGTATATGTGCGTCACATTTATTCTAAACAATCAATTAATTAGGCGCCACCCACCTGTGGAAGCAGACGTGCCCAGTTGATGGAGTTGGCGGTGCTGAGGACGGTCCCGTACTCCACAGCGAGGTGCCCCGTCAGCCCGGACTCTCCAAACATCCTCTTTATGGATCTCTGACAGAAGTCGAAGTCCGAGGCGACGCTGACCGCTCGGACGTTTCCCTCCCCGTAGCTCGTCATCTGAAGCTTCTGGATCTCGCTCACACCTTCTTCTGGGAAAAACACAAGCACCCCTGTCCTGTGTCTCTCGGCGCCGGCGAGTCCACTGAAACCGCTGAGCACCGCGCTCCCTGTGTCTCCAGATGTGGCGACCAGGATGAGGTGATTGCACACGGGCGGGAGGCAGTGGGCGAAGAGCTGCGGCATGAGCTGCAGGGCGAGGTCTTTGAAGGAGGCGGTGGGCCCGTGAAAAAGCTCCAGAAGGTACTGATTATTCATGAGGTGTCTCACAGGTGCTACCTTCTCGCTGGAAAAGTTACACCCATATGCTTTGAAGATCATTTCTCTGAGATCTGAAGCGGAGACGTCCGAGGGGTGGATGCACTTTTCCAGTAAAATCAATGCTCGCTCCGGGTACGACATGTCAACAAGCCTTCTCCACTCACGAGCATCCATATTTGGGAAGCCATTTTTAGGAACATAGAGGCCTCCATCTGTAGCCAAACCCTCAATTACCACATCGCTGAAGTACGTTCTCTGATTGGACGATTCCCCGCCATCACTCCTGGTCGACATGTAGCTTTCTCCAGAGTGGTTTTGATATCTCGTCACCGCTTTCAATACCTTCTCAGCGACTTCCTCCACCGTTTCCCCTTTCCCGCACAGCACGCGCACGTCCACCCACTTCTCATAAAACCGCTTCCTGTGAAGGAGAATGTCCCTCATGGGAACCCCCGCCTCCTGGCCCACGATCCTGTTCACCTTCATCCCGGCGAGTCTGTCCACGATGTCTTCGCTGTCCACGTCCAGGTAGACGACCAGGCCGGACTCTTTGACGTGCTGCATCGCTGCAGCGTGGAGAGGGTTGGAGCCGGTGAGGGAGACGACACACCCTGAAGTGGAGAAGTTACACAAAGCGAGGCCCTCCTCCTCCAGGAATCGCTCGCCGCCGATCGACGCCAGCTTGGCAGCGACGGGCATCTTCCATGTCATCTCCAAGACATCGTCGTCCACATCAATGGCAGGGAGTCCCAGTCTGTGGGCGACTATCTTGCCCACTGTGGTCTTTCCCGCTCCAGGAGGACCCATAAGCAGGATGTTCTTGCCCCCCAGCTGGGAGGCTTTGGTCGACAGCCATGATTTGGGTGTCGTAAAGGCAGTTAGGTAACATCTGACAGCTCTCACTGCAAGCGGCCCTGCATTCATTAAACCCATAGAGGAGTCTTATAACAGCTACCAGCTCTCCTGTGAAACAGAAATTAATTTAAGAAGGGGACATTTGACTGCAATGACACGTTTGACTAAGACTAGTAAAAAGATTAGCCACCATGTATTTTTTCTAAGCACAGTTCTGCTATGGGGTTAAACACACTGCACTGTGCTTTGCAGCCAGAACAGTAACCTAGATTTAAAAAATATATATATTGCTTATATGAGGGAGACACTCACGTGTAATGTTTTATTCCCGTACTCCACCTTCAATAATATTGTTTTAGTACTGTCTGTAGTGTTGATATAGTTTTATTTACCATGCAAAGTCACATTCTGCTGCACATGCTTGACAGGAAAAGCACACTGAAGTCAGAAGAAAAACATCTACGGTCAGCCTGGAGGGACAAAATACACGAATCTTCAACGAGTACTCAACTACTGGCCAGTTTCCCCATTTCCAAGCAAAATATGCGTCCTTTATTGAATTAATTATGTTATATTTTCTGAAGTGGGTTAAGTGAATAAACAATGTGCAAGAGTTAAGGTTAAAGCATTAGCAGCGGCAACATCACAGCAGCGGTCTGTGCTGCATTCAGGGGCTTCTCGGAAATCTCTCCCTTAGGGGAGCAGAAATAAAAAAGAGCGACTCGCATTATTATGACAATAGTGATTTATTAACAATCCTAGAAACTAAATGAATGAATGAATGGGTAGCACAATAAATCGTGACACACTTATTTCGTTTACGTTGTTTTATGTTTCAGGACGGAATATAATAAATTGTAGAAATCAAGTTGCTAAGAGAAAGTAGTTGCTGCAACAGAATAACACGAGGTGCATAGATTTAGCTGTTAGAGTTATTCATGTAGAATATGATTTAAACCAAGACAAAGTCCGTCAATTTAAAACGAGGACAGCCAATTGAGCCTAAATCTATGCTTTATAACTGTCAGTGAATGTTACATTAACTCCTGTTGTTGCCCAGCAACAAACCAACAGCGTGTTGTCAAACAGATCTAGATAACTTTGTCTCCGTTAGCTTGGAGTCATTTTTTCGTCCTTCAACATGTCAGGGTTTATTTATCCACCGGAAAGTGTTTACAATTTGTTACCCAAGGAAGAGGTTCATACTCAGAGGCCACCCAGGTATTTTAAAACCAAATTTAAACTAAACTGTTGCTTTCTTTGTCCAACATTAACCAAATATCAAGGTGTAGTTGAGGTAATTGAGGTTTTTTAAACAATTACAATATTATTATCGTTGTTTCTAGATTTAAACTTGTACTTTATTGTATTTTTATTGTAATTTCTTACAGTAATAAATGATTACCTTCTTAATCAATCAAATGTTTTTCTTTATTCTGCTGTATCTGAAGGTATATGTCCAAGTTCAGGCCAGCAGTCGTTCTTGAAAAGAGATCTATCAAAGAGGCCATGAAGACGATGGGACCTGCAAAAGTTGAAGTACCGCCCCCGGACAAATACCTCAAGAAGCATTCAAATGACTCCAAATTACCTGAAAGTGAGTCCTTGACCGATGGTGTGGTTACATCTGTTGAGCAGCCGTTTTGATGTTTACTTCACATTTTCTGTTTCACAGTTACACAGTGTTCTAAAGAGGGTCGAAACACCTGCGCTGTGAGAAAACCTCCTGTTCCTGCGAGGACAGACCAGCCACTTATGGGCCTTCACACGAAGAGGGACTTTATAAGGACAGCTTCAGCTGTGCCAATGAAGCCCCGGCCTGCATGTGTAGACACAAGCAAGGGACACAAGCAGCCCCTTGAGAAATCAGGACTCCTCCCAGAGTACATTAAGAAAAAGGTACATTCCTACACACACAGGGAGATCAGCTAAGATAGAGATGGCAAGCACAACTCTCAAAACATCACATAAAGTCCCAGTTTGATCTATGAAATGATCATTTTATGGATTTAATTTAACACTTTTTAAGGGCCACGGTGAACACATTGTCTAATAATTAACCGGTTCCTATTTTCAGGATTACGGAGAAGTACCTGAGTACCTGAAACAGCGCATTGAGGAAGAACAAAGAGCTCATGAGGAGAATTTAAGATTTTTGAAAGACCAGAGGGAGCAGGGAACCATCAAACAGCTGTCTGACGAGGAGCGCCAGAGCCTCATCGAGGTACGCAAACACATGACTGTGCAATTGCAAGTCTCTCTCTTAATCAGCAGGGGAGCATGCAGACATCTGGAACAACTGGAGGAGAACAGGAAGGGATTCTGACAATTTAATGTCTTTGAAGTTTTAAGGAAAGTACTTTCATTCAGTAAGAATGCCCTGTGTACGAGCGTCCTGGAAGTGGGTTTAAAAGTACACAGCCTTAGCCAATCATAATTCCTATTATATTATTAAATATGTATTTGTATTTCTGAACTGCTACTCCAGTGATAGGAGCTTTATTGGAGCAATATTACACAATGGGAGGGCTGATGTAATGCAAATCAGTACAGCTCTCAGTCTCACAGCACGGGTTGAACTGTACTACTGCAGTGTTTATAGTTAAATGCCTCTCATCCAATCAGATTACTAGGTTGGAACAAACACTTTTTTTTGATTGCACAAGAAAGCCCTGTAACCTAACGTATACATTTTTGTAGGCTGTTAGCCACAGAAAAGCCTTAAACTCTGACAGCTGCAAAATCAAAATGACTTTGTTGTCACAGTGATGGGTTTCCCTTGCATGCGTGTGTGTGTGTGTGTGTGTGTTTGTGCGGGTGTGCATGTGTGTTTTTTCTACTATCCAGGGCTTGAAGCAGAGCTGGGATCAGCTGCACCATGATTACCAGGGTCTCTCACTTGTCACTGACACCATGAAAAAGAAAGCCCATAAGCAGCGCCTGGAGGGCTCCATGAAGCAGCTGGAGACTGACATCAAATTTTTGGAGAGGTTCAAGACCATCTACATACCCAAAAACTAGGACATAAAATAAAATCTGACTAAATCAGATTTGGGGTGCTGAAAAAACCTCTATTCCTAAGACAAAAAGATTTCACCTCAAATATCTATTAAATCAATTTCATTATGACATTAATAAAATGTTCTGCCTAGAAACTAAGAATTTGTTGTTCATTTTGTTCCATTGTGCTTCTGTGGCTTGTGATTCTGCCGCGAGCCAGCGTCACATGAGGCTGATTATCCCCGTAATTCTCCTCCACCGCTCGTAAACAACGCTGTCCTGTTACACACAAATGACTCAAGCGTGATCCCACAGCCCATGTGGCGGGCTGCGACGGGACTACTCTGGATATCTTCTGACTTTCTGTTGTCTTTTTTTTGTTTTGTGAATTGTGACTGAACGAAGGCAGCTGAACAGTAAGTCATGCTATGGGGGAAAATTGTTTAACTTTAATCATTTTTGGGGACTTTTTCTGTCACTGGAGCTGTTCAGACAAAGATGGAAATCATTTCTTAATCGGATGTGTGGTTAACATTTTCTGTGCATTTCCTCTGAAGGTTACTGCTACCTGCATCATAGCCTCAATCTTTACTCCAGGGTGGATCGATTTAGCCTCTGCAAGATGGACAACACAGGAGTGACAAAAGGAATCGTGGTATGTTCAAACAAAGGATTATTACTGCTGAATTCAGAAATGTAGTATGTCCCAGTTATATACTGACATTACTGGAGAATGATTAGTTCCTCAGCTACAAAAATTAGAGCTGTTTGAAAATGATAACATGTTTGTTTTTCTCTGAAAGAATTCCTTAGGGTCCTGGTGTGATTAATTTACACTAAGCCGCTTTAAAATACCTTCAAGGTTTTAATATTCTAAACCGAGAAGAATATAATTAACAATGGAAGAAGAAATAACTACATGTTTGAGGTTCAGGATGCCGTCGGCTAGAAAAACAACTTGTGTATATCCAATATGGTTCTAACTCTCTGTTTACATCCCTGGAACTTTCACTTTAAACATACTTTTTAAAAAGGCAAATTCATCATTATTACTGCTGAAGGGACTTACAGAGTTACTTATTCTGTTGTTCTCTTGCTGTGATTACTTTTTGTGTGAAGATTCTAACTTATGTCTGTTGTCAGCTCTCCTGAATTTCTGAGTGTTTAGTTTTAAAATACTCCTTCAGTTTCAAATATCACTTGATTTATTGTCCCACAGTGGAAACTTGTTTTCCATCCAGGTCATACAATAAAACATATAGACAACAGAAGCACACAGACTCAGTCAGGACACAATCTCAAAAAGGTATGCATGCAGTACAGTCACCTGCTGCTTGTTTCTTACACAGCAGCGCCTCCTACTTCTCTTACTTCAGCAACATTTCAGGATTATGTAAAGAAATGAATTGGACCTTTTGAGATATCTCACTCAAATATAACAAAACTGATAAGTTAAATCTGTTCCAGTGCTGTTTCTCCATTTCTAATGGCCTGCTGTCTGTCCTAGATCAAAGATGACTGGCCTGGATACAGTTTGGATCTCTTCACGTACCCTGAACACTACCATGAAGACATAGAGAGTGTTTACATTCCACATGGCGTTATCATGAACAGGTAAAAACACACCTGAAAAGGGATTCTTTTAATAACTACCTGCTCATTTGTATTTTGATGATGCTTTTCCTCCTGCAGGATAGAGCGTATGGCCAAATACATCATGGATGACTTTGGAAACAGCAACATCATGGTGCTGTGTGTCCTGAAGGGAGGCTACAAGTTCTGTGCAGACCTGGTGGAGTTCCTAAAGGTGCTTGGTCGAAACACCAACAAGTACCTGGAAACCAGGGTGGAGTTCATCCGTCTCAAGAGCTACCTGGTAGGTGACCTCAGGAAAAACAATATCGGATGTTGTTTCTTATTTTGTCTTGGAGTTTGTTGCAGGTTTGGTATCCAGTGCCTGAAACAATTACAAGTCTTTCTTCACCCTTTCCTCTCTTCATTTCCTGTTCCTTTTTTTAAAGGGGAAAAAAAGCCCCCCAAAAACATAAATTTACTTCATTCTGCTGTTTAAAAAAGCAATCTAGTAGTGCTGAAAGTACTGAGTTGATTCATTTGATTAGAGAAAATATAATTGAAAATTTGACGTATTTTGAGAATGAGTTAATTCTATTTAGCAATAAAGTCAAATGTTCATCATCACAGCTTCTCAAACAAATTGATAACCAGATTTCCTATGTTTTATGTCACTGTGAATTGAATATATTTAGGTTTTGAGAACGTCAAAATTATGAAAAGAGGTCAAATATTGCTTTTGGAATTTGTGATAGGCAGTTCTTATTCATTTTGTTTAGGTGTAACGAATGACGGCTTAATCAATAACCAAAGATGTTCTTGAAAACATCCCTACAATCTTGCATGGAAGACACTTCCCCTTTATTTTACATCCCAAATCTAACTCTGACTTCATCTTAACCACTAGATGTCACTGTTGATCCTGTTTAGCATTTGAAGCTCATTCAGGCAGGACAACCTCAAGGGCGATTGATCATGGATCGAGTGCAGAGCTCAGGTCACAAACACAACACTCTGATCGTTTGTTTTGGTGCAGCTGCCAAGAGAGACCGATTGTGACACCGTCTAACACCTGGAATTCATAAAAGGAGGATTTTTAACTTTTGGAATTCAATATCAATGTTTACTATGATATCACTTGCCACCACAGTCAGATATGATTCTTGTGTGTGTTTTGGCACACAAAGCATCCAAAATGATGTGATTTACATTCCTCTGCATGTGGTCACATTCCTTCTCTTCCCTTACAGCACATGGGAAGACTCACTTTGTACTTAAAGAAGGATTTAGTAGCTAAAAGGACATCCTAGATTGAATTATAGATTTTTTCTAGCTTTGGTGGATCAGTGAAAACACGTTGAGGTCATTTGGTAAAATCAGGATAGAAAAAATAGACTTATATTAATAAATAAGTGTATGAATGAAGGAATGACTGAAACATACCTGCAGGCTGTCGACTCAGCCACATGAGAATGTCTCAAATAAACAACACGTAATGAAATTCTTATTAAAAACAACTTTATTTAATTCTGTGAGCACAATTATAAGCAGCAGCTTTATACACAGATCAACTGACACAAAACGAATACACAGAAGAAGAAAAAACAAACCATCACACAATCTGCATGTGGAATGTAAATACATGAATTATTTAGTTAATACAAATCTAAAATGATAACTTTGTAAAGAAATATAGAAAAGTAGGATGTATGAAAACATCATCGTTGCATTTTGATGTCAACAAATGGCAGCAATCAGTGGTGACTGTTTCTTCACTGGAGGAGAGTGTGTGTGTGTTAGAGTGATGACTCTGTTAGTCGATCTCACAGGTCATGATGTAGTCATGTGAACTGCCTCCAGGGCCAGGATTCTGTCCATGTCACTGCTCCTCCTACAGTGATGCATCGGTAGCTGAGCGACCCTAACTTCAAAGGTTGATGTTCAAAGCTCACCACTGGACTCCTACAGTGACAAAAAGAGAGCCTGACTTTACTTTTTAGAATCATGTGGTGCATTCATCATCTTAGTAAGGCAGTTAACCCTTCATAATGCCGCAGACTGATCGCTCTAAGACTGTAAGACAGACGCAAACTATTCAATATCCACAAGAAAATGTCACTTTTCTTCAATAAGACAGAATATATATTACAATTTCTGATGCTAAAGATAATAAATCTTAATTTCATTTAAAATTCATCTCCCTCTATCCTTCTTACCAAGCCCAACAGCAGATGGCTGGTTCTTCATTAGTCTGGTTCTGCTTGAGGTTTCTGCCTCTTAAGGATTTTTTTTCCTTTCACTGTAACTTTGTTGATGTTGTTTAGTGCTGAGCTCATGGTGAGGTAATGGTTGATCTTTGTGAACAATTTAACTAAGAGCATGGTCTACATCTGCTCTTTTTGTAAAGTTTCTCGAGACAACATTTGTTATACGATCGGGCCTCGACTGATGTGAAAAATTCCCAACTCTCTTTTGAACAAACAACATAAAGACACAATTTCTGCATCACACAAAACGTTGCTTTTTGCATTATATAAAAACAGTTTTCATAATTGCTGATATCAGAACACATATATCGACTTAACTGTGAAAGGCTTTATTAGTGTAGACCAATCTACAGATCTGTGAGGCTCTACTTATAAATGATTACTCTCTATTTTCATCTTCCCCAGAATGACCAATCAACAGAGGAGCTGCACATCATAGGAAGCCGAGATCTGTCTTTCCTGCGAGGGAAGGTGGGTGTAAATTAATTTCCTACTGATTTTGGATATTAACTGGTGAATTGGCAATATCTGGTAGTTTTATTTAGGAGATATAAGTCTGCTTCAATAAGGAGCTGTCAAAACAACAAAGATTATGTACGTATGAGTGATCCTCTGAGATTAAATACATAGCTAGCAGGACTATATTTAGTTTTAAACATGTTTTTTATTGCACTGAGTTTTCCCTTGGACCAGAAAACACCCTATGCATCGTCATTTGAAGCTTTTTCCTTAAAAAAAAGTTGTGGACTCACATTCTAGGACAAAAAAAAAAGTTTTACTTTTTACCACCTCCTCCATGAAACAGGATAACAAATGTTCTTACACTGCAGATTTACTGACAGTTTATCTGAATAGAGGACTCAGGGGGGCACGCAGGTTCTTGAGAAATGATCCTCCTCACTACATTATTATCTCAGATATAAGACAGACGACCCTGCTTACTCAGCAGACTGAGTTTGCAAATATGCCCTCACGCATTCTACGAAAAAAAGACTCATATTGAATTCCCTGAAATGAAATGTACTGAAGGTGAAAAGGTCCTGAGTGCTAAAAAAAGGAACACCTTACTCCCACCTTGCACAAAAACATGAATCACACTTTGACTGTGTTACGTAAATCAACGTTACAATCCTTTAACCTCCCACAAGGACCTCTTTATCATCAAAAACACAAGATCTTCAATATGTATATAACCATGATTCTTTGGGAGCAAGATTAAGTCACAGCTCCAGATGACTGTGGAAGTGTGGAGATACTTTCCCTGCTGCTTTAGAACCTGTTCATCTGTGTTGTGATTGTGACTGATGATTTTAAAGAAAGCAGCAGTTACAACCACTGTTCAGAGTTTCTCATGCAGATCCTATCACGATGATTTCTTAGCTTTCAGACGTCTTAATCCCAGCTGTTAATGATGTTGCAGACACAGCCGTAGCACTCTGGTATTTCTCGATAATGGAAGGCTGTCCACGCTTAGGCACGATTGCCTAGTGTGAGTGCGCCCTCCTAAACTCTTTGCCTGTTTCTAGATTGACCGAAATTTATTTAGAGTCCGAGTCAGAATGACGACTGCCATCTATGGGCTTCATAACGTCTCTTCAGAAACCAATGTGTGATGTTTCTGAGTGTACATCCATATCTCATACAGTCTATAGATGAACCTTCATCCAATAACAATGACTGATAACACATTTTTCCTCAGAGTGTCAGTATTCATCAATCCAGCAACAGGAATAAAACAAAATCATGATCCAGGCGTCCTGTCAGAACTATAACATCGATCCTATGCACAGTGAAATAACTGCAAGTGCCTGGTTATCGCCCAACTCACTTGTAAAGAATATTTATAGCCGCAGCAAGCAGAACAACGGGAGAGATTTATTTGAGTGTTTTGTGTTCTCTACTTTCCCCTTCCCACTTTCTCTGAGTATTGTGTAACAGTGTTCAGGTGTAGACTTGAGAGAACACTGGCCAGCTGCCTGCATTCTCTGTGCTCACTCTCCCCAAACCATAGATACTCTCCTCTGCGCTCACAAAGAGCTCCATACACCCAACTCAGGGAACAAGGAGTCATTTGAAACCCTGCAGCAGTGAAAGTGTGCAACAGCCCGGACTCTCAGAAGTGACTTTTTCTCACTCCTGACACACAGATGTTCATTACAATGTGGAAGAGAATGAGTCTACTGTGTTTTTGTTAAGATACTGCCAATGTTGTTGCCATAGAGATCATCTGTGAGGAATGTAGATCACACAGAAACAGTGAAGCCTTTATTATCCTGCACTTTTTTTTAAATACAGGTGACACTTTACTAATGTTTTCTCCTTTTTCCACATGATACCAAGAGTGTGCTCATCGTTGAGGTGAGTCTCAGGTGCATCTGTAGATTTTTTTCTATTTAGCACTGCTTTCTAATGTTCACCTTTTTGATTTATTGTTTGCACTCCTGTTTGTGTCCTTTTGATTAAGAAGCCATTGTGCTTGTAAGAGCTGCTTCTCTTTTGTTTTTGTTCCTCAAAAGCACAAAAAGAATCAATTTCAGCTCCAACTCAAATCAGAATCACATATGCACAGTACAACAATGGTTGTTAACTCCCAGTTTCCAGTGGGTGTCTTTTTAAAATCATGTCGCTGGAAGTTTTCCATCCTGCAATCTGCATATTTCAAAGCGTTCTGCACTCCAATGTCCCACGTCCGTCCCTCTTCATCTTTTCCTCTTCCTTTGCTCTTCCCTTCCCTCAGGCCATACTGGACACAGGAAAGACCATGAAGGCCCTTCTGAAGCATGTGGAGACCTTTGAACCCAAAATGGTCAAGGTCGCAGGGTGAGCCAGCCTCTCAGTCGTCTGTGATTCCCCTATCAGGGGGGGGAAATGCCAAGCATGTGACGAGCACAAAGGAGAGATATCGCTCGTCCACGAGACACTAGCTCATGTCTGTGGGCTGTTCATACACAAGATCACAGAAGCTAGATACACATCTTTCCTCACACAAGTTTCATGCTGAAAGTGTATCTGCTCTGTGACCTCTTTTCAACTGTTAACATGTTGGATGAATTTATGTAAGCTTTAGATTTTGATATGGAATTGTCTTTGTGTTTCTTTTTAACTTAAAAAAAACTTGAGTTAAGCCTTGAATCAAGGTTATTTCTGGCCTGTAGCTTTTTGGAAATTGACTAATATTTATTTAATGTGTTTTAGTCTGTTGGTGAAGAGGGTCCCTAACATGACAGAAAGTTTGACTGACTGTAAGTAACCTTCTCTTTTAACTGCATCCATTCCTGTCACTTTATTGCAGTTGTATCAAGCCATTGTCATACCTCCTCTAATATGTCAGTAACAGAGACTCAGATGCATTATTTTCAGTGTTTCTCGAAGCTAAAGCAGTTGTTAGGCAAGCTCTGTTCTGCGTTTTATACCGTGTTGATAATCAAGAATGCTTCCTGGCATGATAAGCCGTCTCCAATCAGCCCTGGACTACATACCCGAGACAATAAAAATGTAGATAAAAACTGCAGAATTGAGGTTCAGTTACAGGGTGGGTGGCTTTTTGCAGTGTGTCGAGGAGGGTCAAGAAGAAGCCATTTTTTTATTCAGACAATCAGCATGGAGGCAGATTCTCAAACATATGTTAGCAGCTTAAAGAGAAGGATAACAACTGAGTTCAATTCAAAATGTCAAGGGTGTCATGTTAGTTTATTGGTAAATGCATGTACAGTACCATGCAAATGTATGAATTTCAGTATGCCATCCCCCCATCCCTTGAAACTTGCTGGTAACTAACTATTAGGGAGGAAAAGTATTAATGTGATCCTACAAAACCCAACCTTTCTGTAAAAAAAAAAAGCCTATTTTCTATGCCGAGAATGACAGTTTCCACAAAAAGATTTCCCCTGTAATATTTACCTTCTTGGTGATTTTGAGAATGCTTGTCTCACTTGTCTGTTTTATGGCAGCTTTTCATGATTAACAGAGCTTTGACTCTCCCATGAGCCAATACATGTCCTGCAAAATCTAGAGTCTCTGGCTTCAGTAAAGGACATTTTGCAATGTAATAAATCCAAATCCAGCCTTCAAGCTGCCAATTCTGACTCCAATGGGTGATGCTCTGCTACATTTTATCACAGACTGTATGAAAGAAGCCACCAAAACTTTAGCCTGTGATTTGTGAAATACTGTTTTTGTCAGGCTGTTTGGAGTAAGAGGTGAATATACTTGGATAGGAGGGTGGTGCTGCAGCAAATTAATGCTTAATCACATGTTTAATTTATGGATCTATATTTACTCTGAATGGGACCTTGGATTGGCAAATGATCATCATACTGTATTCTTTAAACTTGCAATTGTATTTTGACAGATGTCATTGATTAACTAAAAATGACAGATTTTTTATGAGAACCATGCAGGTTTAAAGAACTTCTGCAACATCTCAGTTTACTCTTTAAACATTGATTTATGGATGTCACATTACCTTTTATATTGGAATATAGATTGTACTCTTAACCACTTATTAATTGAACCGTTTCATCATGTTGCTCTCTAACATTCATTTCTGTGTTTTCTCTGATAGATGTTGGATTTGAAATCCCAAACCGCTTCGTGGTCGGTTATGCCCTGGACTACAATGAATACTTTCGAGACCTGAATGTGAGTCCACATCTGCACACGGCACCTGACCTTTTAAAAGAGCTTAGAGAGAGAGAGATGAAAGAGAAAGTGGGCGGGGAGGTAAACACGGTAAATCAATGAGATGCACTCCTCTCTGAAACCTGAACTCACCACACAGGTATCCCTCCCTGCCTGAGGAGACTTTAGGGAGGCTATGCTGCTCCAATCACAAAAATCTACATAGAAAAATATTTAGGGATGCTCAATACATGCCTCCGCTTTGAGCCAGACAGAAACATCTCTTCAGGCAGAAAAAGAAGGAGAACCATTAACAGCAAGCTATTTAACTTTAAATGTACAAATGAGCACATAAGACTGTTTAACTCCAAGCAGGCATGCTCATTTGCATCATCTTTTAAAAAGTTTCTATTGCCACAATATTTAATTGATAATCATTTATTTACAAGGTTTGAAATTTAGCGGAAAAGGTTAAAATATTTAACTGCTTACTCCAAAAAAAATGTTGTATTTAAAGTGATAACACGTAAACAGTGTGACTTTAAAGAGTCACATGTCAGTACAGTATTTTGAGAGTTTAAGATTGCAGCATTTTTTTTTATCTTATGTTAGCTAAACTTTACTGTACATCACTGGCTGAGTGTTTGTATTATTGGTACGTTCTTTGAAATCCGTCTACAACATCAAACTAAACTAAAAAAATCGTATCAACATTTATTCTTTAAAATCAAGGTTCAGAACAATAACTCACCAACAGCAAACTGTGAAATGCCTTCCCTCCCTCACCACTTGATTCATTCAGTGATACTCTTTCACATCACTTGTGCTCAACCAGCTCACTTCCCTGCAAACACTGAATCAGGAGTACATTTGACCCTCTGATATTTCAACATCTTATTTCAATCTCGATTTCTGAGTCTTTAATTAGAAAGTGCAAACGTATGGGAATTTTGACATTTCTATATTTGACAAAGCATGACCTCGTATTTACCCCTGACTCATGTGAAACACTGAGCCAACACTGACTCCCCTGCCTTCTTTCTGTGTGTGTGTGTGTGTGTGTGTGTGTGTCCCTGTGTTTTTTACTGGTGTGTGTGTCTGTGTGGCATGTAATGTGCATACTGTATGGTTGTGTGTGTCTGCATGTTTGAGGGGGGTGGTTTTCATTATGAAACTTTAAAAGAGGTTGACCTGTGGAATGTGGAGGTTAGGATCCCTTTATCAGGCTGACTTAAAGCTTCCCCTCTTATCTGTCCGTATCCTACACAAGAAATATGAGCTGAACCCCTGGGAGGCTCCAAACTCAGATTAATGAACGTGTCATATCTATGTCGAAAAAACCTTCCTCACTTTTAAATTAACACTTGTTTCATCTATTCATGCTCTATGTGACACATATAATGGAATTTGCAGACCGTGCTGGAATTCCCCCAAAGTGCAGGGGGGTCTTAAACAAATATTTTTCTGTCATTTGATGTGGACAAGACTGAACATTTACGCTACACATGCTCATTTTTCTCCTTCTTCTGCTTCTTCCTCCCTCAGCATATCTGTGTCATCAGCAAGACTGGGAGGATGAAGTACAAGGTTTGAGGAGAATTAAAACCATAAGTAATCCATCTGCAGCAGAAAACTGTTCATCTACCTTATTCAACAATAAGTCATGGAGCAGTTTTGCACTATTTTGCTAAATAAGCCAATTTTTTTAGAAGAAAAAAACATATTTGTATTTATATTTGTATGTCTTGAGATTTTTTTTAGGGTTTTGAATAACTACAAAATACTTCATTTAAAAGCTTGACAGTGTCATTATATAATGTCTTTATATTAAAAAATAATACTAAAGCATAGTAATGCCTCATCTTCTCTATTTTGTCTTTTGTTGTGGTGCACATGCTAAAAAACAAACAGATTGATATAAAGAGGAGTTGACTGACCACCAGTGTTGAGCGTTGGTGACAGATGGAGTAAGCTTATGGACGTTGGCATCCCCGCGCCCGGATGACGCCCACACTGACTCATGGAAAACACAGAGTGGGTGTAGAATCCGGGCGACTTACCAGTTTTACCACTCTGTATCTATTTGTTCCCAACTTTGATTTGACCTTGAAGGAAATGTGTGAGAATTCAACTGAGCATTTAGCAAAACTGTTGAAAGAATTAACCTACAGGTTCGGTTTATTAGTTAGTTTACCCACCAAATGTTTGATATTGATTTTTATACAGTGTTCAAGCATTTTAGCAGATGTTAATTCTTTAAATTGTCTTTTTCATATTGAGAGTTACACCGACTCACTCGACACAATTAGAAACTGCAAGCTCCAGCGAGAACAAATTAAGCAGAAATAAAACTTTCGGAATGTTAGATAAATTACTTCTTTCATCAATATTCCCAAATAACTGTTTCTGTTCAGGAAAAATGTCTGACTTTCACATAAACTGTAGTGTTTTTATAAGGTTTATTTGACTAATAAGTCAGCTCTGAGACCTTGATCTCAATGGGAAAACGCTGACTGCAATGGCAACAAATCCAAATACCTGCAGCATCAGTTCATGATCAGATTCTGATTCTTATTTTAGTTCTCTGAACTTCAAACACAACCACAGAGGTACTTCTTATGTTTTGTTGCCATTGTTGGGGTGACTAAGAAAGCAAATTGTGCATGTCAGCAGACAGAATAGCGCATGCCTCACTTCATGCAGCGTGCACTGGGGTAGCTTTATCATCTGGATACGCACTCTTGGTTCTCAGTCACCTGAAACTCTAAACAGCATAGCAGGAATGCATGCTCACACACAGGCATTATTCTGTGATTATTTCAGATATAACATCTCAAAGTATAGAGCAAAAAGAGTCAGAGTGCCTGACTTTTAACCCCAACATGCTTCAAACCTGCAGGTACAAACCAGCCATAACTGAAGCTTCAAGTGACTAATGATATGATGCAATTCTCAAGACTAAGTTCAATAACTTTGTGGAATAAAAAATTGAATTCTACTAACTGTTTGTTTCCCTCACTTTTTAGGAACTAGTTTCTAATCCAAAGGTTATGATCCAGCTCAGGCCACAAGGTCTCTTCATGTTAAATGACCTGATAAATGAGTTGCCATGTGGATAATATGAGTGACTGCAAACAAAAGAGTGACGTGGGAGGTCTGGAGCACTCAGATTCCACGTAGTGCTTTTAAAATTTCCTCACGTTTTATGTCTATGGGGGTAAACAACACCTTGATTAATACATTCCGAGGGAGATTAAATTCAATCAGGTCTTGTCCCTGACCTCTAAGGTGCAGAAAAGGGAGATAAGCCCAAAAGGAAGACACTAAAACAAATTATCCAGCTTTTTAGTTATCTGTGCAGACTCGCACACAAAGACCATCATTGTACCTGGAGCTGAAACCTGTGTGTCCTTATCATAAAGCATCAGCACTTGGCGGTAGTGGTTAACCTATCCCGGTGCTAATGCCTCCCGCACTGCCCTGGGAACCTGAACGCCATTGTGCTTTGCCTCGATGCAGGGCTTGGTGAAAGTGATACGGGACACAAAGCATGGCAGGTTTCACAAGCTGCGTCTTTGTGGTGCTCCGTCAGGGGAACACAGGACGGGGCCGACCACAAGAAAAAGTAGGCTACAGGTAAAACTGCGCTCAGGACAAAAGGAACAAAACGAGAATTGTACATTTGAATGGACTCGCATCTATGCATTTGACATTTGACGCCTGTGGTTGGAGATTGTGCAGTAGGAATACATTTCAGATCACCAGTTCAAATGAATGGACTGTTGACTAGAAAAACTTTCATGATCTTCTTCCTGTTAAAGACGATTTTGACATTTTAGATATTTGTTTGCATGTTAAAGCTCTTTTCATGGTATTACTTTAATGTCCACTCACAACATTTGACCTGCAGATAAAAAAGCTTTGTTGTAATACATCAAATTGCAACATTATACATGGTCCCTTTACAAATAAAAAAAATGACCTTTTTTAATCTAAAAGACTAATTTAACCTAAATGTTGCAAGCAGGTGTTTAAATAAAGCTTTCATTCCTAGTTTGGACTGACTATCTAGCGCTTCACTCACAGATCTCAGTACACAAATAGAAAGTACATCCTCTCCAGCTTTCATTGTGTTCCAATTATGGCACCGGCCAGCCAGAGGGCTGGATACATTGACTGCTGTTGGGATTCATCCAGTCATCAAACTTAGTGCCAGATCCACTTATACAACCCCGAGCTGGGGTGGTGGTCATCCTCTTAAACCCTTACTTTAACTACAGCTCCTAAAATAAGCATTCATTAGATTTCTACATATTGTATCGCCCTGATTGATTTTTTTGGATGAAGGAAGCGATAATAACATTGATCACGTACTCTACATGTTGTTGGCAGAATCCGTTCCACCTGTCCTAATCCTTACGCTGCTTGGCTTTGAACTTGGACTTCATGTGATGTCCTAATCCAGCCAAACATTTTGCTGCCACGAGAGAGCCCGTAATCTTCCCTCTGCTGCCGAATGTTCGAGTCACGCTGACTCTGCAACTTCACATGAGCTGTTAATGGTCTCACAAATGCTCCAACAAAACCTAAAATCTAAAAAAGAAAAAAAAAAAAGTAGGGCAAAAAGGTACAGAACGAGGGCGAGTTAGAATACAAGATAACACAATGGCATCTGAAAAAAGCATTGCAGACACTGGCTACAGGCCTATAATGACTCTTCAATGAGCTTTACTCACCATTCACTGATCTGAAATCCTCTGCCTGCACTTTGCCATTCATGAAAACAACACTACCCTGAATGAATGTCTCATAACAAAGTGCTGCACAGAGCAAAGAGAACCGGCCGGACTGCATTTTAACTAAAGTATCACAGGAAATAAAACACACATTTGAGTCTTATATTGGTGCACTGACATATTTTTATCATTCACTTGACAATTTGTATTTGCAGTTTTGTATCTCTTTTTGTAGCTTTCAGCCAATCTTGTTGCAGCAGATGGCGTACTACCAACGATTCTGTTTCTCCTCGAGGTGTCTGCCTGTTAAAGGAAGTTTTTTTCCTTGCAACTGTTGCCAAGTACTTGCATATTGTTTGATTATTCCGAGTTGCTTTAAAATTGTACTTCAAAGAGTATGGACAAGACTCTAGACCTTCTATGTGTGAAGTTACATGAGATAACTTTTGTTATGATTTGACAGCATATAAATAAAAACCGATGAAAAAAACAGTCATCCCCCATTTAAAGTCATTGCTTAGCTAAAAGATTGAGTTTAGTTTTGATGCATAATCACACCACCAAATCAACTAGATGTCCTTGCTGTTTTAATAGTGCAATAAAAAACAAATTGCATTTGGTAGACATGGACCTCATGTTTGCCATCACATAATGCAGAGTCCCACTTACATCAGTTTAAGTTCTCCATTGTCTGAATGAGGGTGCACTAGGTCTTTAGACAATAGCTCCTCTCTGAAACCAGGGAAACCTCGCCACAGTATGGGTCAAAAGAGTCCCATTGTCCTGTCCTCTATTGTGCTGCTGGAGTAGCCTGCAAACAGAACACTGTCAGCCTTTGTCTTTGTCAGGATCAGCTGTGCATCTTTTTTTTTTTTTAAACCCTGCTGTGTGGAGTCCCATGTGGCTGCCATGCCCTATATGTCACCAGAATAAAGTTAAGGACACTGCTGTTACAGTTGATAATGGATGGGCAAATATGTTTCACCAATTGAACGTTAGGAAATTGGAGAGTTCAGCATATGTGTGGAGCCTCAGGGCTTTTCCTCGCCCATCACAATGACTTTGCTGTGATTTCAATCGGAGAGGGTCTGAAAGGCTTCATGATGACAGAGTGTGGGAATGTATTGCTCAGTGTAAAGATATAGATGGTTAGATGAGTACTTAAATGCATTATCTGAGTGAAAAGTCAGACCGTGAGTAAATGTACATGCCTAATTTCTGGAAACTGCTTGGCAAATTAATAATTTTGTACTGAACAAGAAGTAGAAAAAAAAACTAAAAACCAATTACTTGGGTCAAATCAGCAATAGCATCAAAAGTAAAAGCTGTACAGTAAAAGTAGATAAGTGTTAGCATCAATATAAAGCAGACTTAAAGTCCTGAAACTAAAAGTGCTAGCAATGCAGAAAAATGCATTACAAAATAAAGTTAACTATTTTATATTATTGGAAAACAACAGTTTTTGTTTATTATAAATTTAGATATTTCTCACATTAATGTAATTTCACTTTTAAGTAATGGTAAATGTGTCACTATTGTATTTTTTATGCTGCAGGATAGTGTTTATGTATTAAATATTTGAATCTTTAAAGTATTGTCACCAAAAGTATCATGCAAATAATGGAAAAGAAAGACAATAATGTTTATAAGTATAAATCAATATAAAATGAAGTTACTCAGGACTTGAGTGAATGCGTTGAGACTTTCCACCACTGCACAAGAACATACACTGAAGTGATGTTGAGCCAGTAACCAGAATGGACCAGCTTCCACTCTTTATTAGAAATGTTATGTAACAACAGCTCCAATAGGCCCGCTTTAAAATTCCAAAATTAAACTAACCACCTGATTGGACGACGCCCTGTTCGGAGGGCAAGCCGAGGGGCGGGGCTTCGGCCGAGTCGGGGAGATTCATCTATCTACATAGAGATTGTCGCGCCGCCAACCGGGGGACCACGTAGGAGGAGTGCATACTACTTTTTTTTTTGTTTCTATTTTGGCTGTTTTCGCGTCGAGTAGAGGCTCG